TAGAGTAGGTAAATGTTGTGACTCAGCTGGAATCACAGAGTATCTCTGATGAGGATGGTGGGACTCAGGTTCACAGTCTGGTTCAAAATGTCCCTGTTATAGACGTCCCTGTTATAGGCAGTGAAGAAGTGCAGTTTCCCACAGCAAGGAATGAGAGTGTTGATACTGAAAATAGCCAGGTGCAGGTGCAGATTGACTCAGAGAAGGAGGACAGTTCTCAGCCTGATAATGAGCAAGCAGGGAAACAGGCTGACACTAACGAACAGACTGACCTTCACGAAATGGGAACCTTAGATCGGGTTGACCGTTTGGAATTCCGAGTTCGAAGGAGTGTGAGAATAGATAACAAGGGGGAGGCCAGAGGCCAAATAAATGCCTTCGTGTTTTGCAAAGGGTATTAAGCAGTGTGTTTGAGACGAGACCTTTGTCAAAGCAACTTTTCATTCAACTAAGAAGCTTGCCTTTGCTTGTCTGGATATCTTACAGTTCTTGTGTTCATGGTTTCAGGACTTTGTCATGTTCTTTTGGGTTTTTGCTTTGCTGGTGCCTTTTTGGATTAAGCTTCAAAGTGCTATCTTATATTGATCTCTTGGAACATTAACCTTTGCCTTTAAGAACTTTTGACCTTTTATTTTTAAGAAACTATAAAGACTTCTGGCTGTATGCAGTTTGGTGTTTTCAGCAAGGTGAAACTACTCTGAGGTGCAACACTAAAAAGGTAAAGGCTGCATCAATAGGAGTACAGTATTTAGATCAAAGGATTTTTGTATTGTGTCAGAAGCTAACTGAGAATATACTGCAAGTCGCTTCTGGTGTGAGAGAATTAATCATCTGCAAGAACGTTGGCCAGGGGATGCCGGGATGTGTTACCATCCTGTGGGAGGCTTCTCTCATGTCCCCAACAGAGAAGCTGAAGCTGACAGACAGGAGCTCACCCATCTCCCGATCTTCAGGTCTTCAGATCAGCAGTTCAGCCAGCACAAATTTGTTGCGCCACCGTGGCTCTAACAAATTTGATGCCTTCATACCAATGAAGACCAACACAGAGAGATACATTGATCAATCTTCTTTTGATCCCTGCCTTACCTACAGGAAGGAGAGGTCGTGGTTTTCTTCAATGAGCACAATCTTGAGGTTGTTCATGACAATTTCACAGTTGCTATACATTTTGTGTAGTGTCTTGTACTGTTGGTGGGCATCTCCCGTCACACTGAAAACATTTAGGGTGCCTGCAGAGACATCTAATTGACAATAAAGGTTCCAGGGACGTAATAGGTCCATTGTGTTTCTCCTGCCATTGATATTTATTCCCATCTCAAGTCATTTCTTCACCCATCCTCTGTCCAATGGTTGGATTGGCAGCTTCAATCCAACCATTGGACAGAGGAAAATCTGCATCGGAAGCAACCACTCTATTATGCTTTGGCCAGACCTAACCTAGGAAACATAATTCAAAACAGATTGCTAAAACATGTCCAGAGAGGGATGATCAAAATAATAAAAGGTCTGGAAACCATGCACTATGTGGAGAAGTTTAGGGGGTGGGTATGTTTAGACTACAGAAGATTGAGAGGAGACACAATAGCATGTTTAAAGATTTGAAAGAATGTCGTATTGAGGAGAGCAGGCTTGTTTTCTTCTCATTCAGACGATAGGACACAGAGCAATGTTTTCAAACTACAGGAAACGAGATTCCATGTAAACATTAGGAAGAACTTTTTGATAGTAAAAGCTGTTTTGACAGTAGAATATCCCGTCTTGGAGTGGAGTCTCCCTCTCTGGAGGTTTTCAATCAGAGGCTGGATGGCTATCTGTCAAGAGTGCTTTGTGCTTTCCCTTATGGCAGGGGTGGAATGAAAAGCCCTTATGCTTTCTTCCAATTCCCTGATTGTCTTTCTTTTCGCAATAAACAATATCATGCAAGTGAGATTGGTAAGCTCACTACGAATTCCCTGGATCCCCAATTAAGTAAACCATTACTAGGTCATCACTAAGCAACTACAGAGACAACAAGACACGGAAACAACACACGTGGTGGCTAATATTTTCTTCTCCAAGAGTTTAGTTCTACATAATCTGTTCACATAGAAATTTCATTTCTTACATTTTTTTCCCACAGAACCTCCAACTCCTCCTAGTCTTGAAGGAAGACATCAGAAAAGCCTTAAACAATCAGACACAACCCACTAAATCCATCCATGTGATTATCTATCAACACTACATCATTCTAAACATATATTATCATTTTGAAAAGGCAAAGAAATGGGATATTACCAAAAGTAAGAGACAACAGAGAAGTTATTCCCAAATAATCATGTTTTCGGTGTGGTGAAATCTGAAAAAATATTGAAAATGTGATTTGAGACTTGAAACACAACTAGAGAAATCAGTTCTGTTTTTGAACAGTGGGTTTTGTGCAAGACATAGAGAGGTGAGACAGATTTTCACCTGGCAAAGCCTGGCCATTTTTTGTTCGGGTAAATAAGAAATGAAATGTGTATGTTTGTTTTGCTGTGAAGCTCAAACAGGATCAACATTGTCAAAATCTACTCTACTGCCAGGATCTGACAATAGTGGAGACAAACAAAAGGAGATAATTCTCTTATCTTTGATGAGGTAGAATATTGCAATTATTTGCTATCTCAGACAATTTAAGCAAACCTTGGTTTTGTTCTGCTGCTAAAAATAGCTCACTTGTTTTTTAAAACAAAGATGCCAGAGCTTTATGGAAAATATGAAAAAGAGATCACAGAATCAACAAAGTGAAAATCATATCACTTATAAAATTGAGGTGTTTTCCCCCTTCTCAATCAGGTATTTCAATATGCTATACTCCTATCTGGTCTACAGCTACGCACCAAGGACAATTTGGAGATCTCAAAGTTAATCTGAATAAAACAGACTCATTTATATAGAGAAAGTAGTCATAGAGGAAGGGTACTCAATGAAACTAAGTAAAACTAAGCACAGTGGTATAGCTGGAAGAAGGCTTTCTGTGGTTACAGATCAGCACAAAAGGGATATAAAACATTTGTCTCCAAGTTCATTTCATAGACATGTTAAGTTTTACGTATAAGGAAGCATAGCTACCGTCGAAAGTAAGATATAGCACAAATACTTCAGAGTAACAGTACTCCTCTTTATAAATAGTACATCACAATACTTCTCAACTCAGCAGCAATGAGTTTCAAGCCCTTCTAGTTTACCAACCCTGAATGAATTCTGTGAACCAGCATCCAGGCAGTGGCACCTCTCAACTTCAATAAACATCTTCTACGCCTCTTAACTTTAGAAAGAAAACCTCCCCAATGGGATGAGAACAGCTGACTGATTTTGTACAGAGCTCCAGAGAGTGGCCACCAAGGTATAAACTCCCCTGTTGCCCATCTCTCAGGCTATTAACGTTCAAATGTAGTCAAGGAGCTCCACATGCCACTTTGGCTTCTTAGCAACTGGTCTTTTAGTAAGCTGAACAAGAACAAGTAACAGTGTGGGATCCAAAAAGGAAAGGGGAAATTGAAAATCACTGAAGGGAAACAGGCGAACAGAAAATAATGGCAGCTAATCCACAAAAGTGGGAGAAAATGCTTTAAAAATCAGGAGAGAATAGGTGGGAGGCCAAAACAAATATTAAAAACAGAAGAAAGACATGGCAAAACATGGCAAGTAATGTGCAGCTACGATACCTTATGAATAGATAAATCAGATGTGCAAAGCTTAGAACATACGAATATTAAAATTTTATGCTAGATATCTCAAACCAAACATCTCATGAGCAAGACATAACCTATAGATAGAAGATGCTATGCAAAAATTGGAAATGGTAGAATAAAGGGATCTGAATTTCAGGTGAGTGGGATAGTGTGAGGAGAAACAAAAATTATATTATGATATCATAATAATATTATAATATTATATAAATATTAGTTTGCCCGCTGCCCCAGTGGTGAAGCAAGTAAAACCACTGAGCTGCTGAACTTGCTGATCGAAGTTAGCGGTTCGAATCCGGGGAGCGGGGTGAGCTCCTGCTGTTAGGCCCAGCGTCTGCTAACCTAGAAGTTCGAAAGCATGCAAATGTGAGTGTATCAATCGGTACCATTCCAGCAGGAAGGTAATGGTTCTCCAGGCAGTCATGCTGGCCACATGACCGAGGAGGCATCTACGGACAACACCAGCTCTTCAGCTTAGAAATGGAGATGATCATCACCCCCCAGAGTCGGACACGACTAGAGTTAATGTCAAGGGGAAACCTTTTTAGCAAAACATACATAATGTGAAGTCAGATAAGAAATCTTTGTCAGTGTTACTCCAAACCAACAAACTGCACTATAATTGCAGTGTAATTTAAGATTACTTTAAGATGTTCTCTATATAATTGCACCACAAGTGGAAATCATGAGGATCATTAGTGCAATACATTGCATGTATGTCAAAAGAGCTTCCTATTTCCAAACAAGTTTGTATCATGATCACAAAAGAAATACAGAAATATCCACTTAAATCCCAAGGAAACCAGGATAACAAGTTATTATTGATTACTTCCACCAACAAATTTAGGTATTAAAAGCAGACTTGAAGAACGTGCCAAAGACAATTCAAGATAATGAAATTCAAAAGCCCCCTTGTTTGCTTTATATTAAACATTAAATTATTTCTGCCTTTTCTTCATTTCAAAGGGTTAGTTCAAGCCTTGAAATGTACACATAGATCTGTACAAGTTTAGCAGGGTATGCCAGTTCAAAAACCAGTCTCTTCTACTGCACGATAAATAGTTTCAGGAATTGAGGATGCTGTGTTTATAAAATGCTTTGAGATACAATTCAGTGACTTTGGCTTCCAAAATAGCATATCAATCCTCCCTTGTGCTATGTTTAATTCAAAGTGAGAAATATTTTATATGACAACAATTTGTGTTACATATAATTCCTCCAGTATCCCATTTACTGAATAACCACCATCAAACAAATATATGCAAAGGAAGAATATTAGCATTCTCATACCTGTGGTTAAAGGGAGGTGGATGACAGTGGTTAAACATGTCAAAGTAAACCAGATGGATGACAGAGTTGCTCCTGACAGTAACAGGAGAAGTATAGGTTTCAGCATTCCTCTGATAAAATCAGCAAACCTAAAAGAAATATAAATCACACTTTAAAAATATTTAATATATTTTATAAACTGAGAAAAAATGTTAATGCTTCTGCAAAATTTCTAGGATATTTGAAATAGCATTTTTAAAAGTGATATTTTGCACTTTTAAGACAGGAAGAAAAAAGAATAGAGAAGTGGTCAGAAATAAAGGTGTTTTCTGGTACATGTAGGTCATATCCAGAGGCGGCCCTAGGTAATTTTCAATGGTAAGCATTGAAAATAGCGCCCCCAAATACTGTTTGCATTTCGTTGTTGGAGTTCTGTGTGCCATATTTGGTTCAATTCCATCATTGGTGGAGTTCAGAATGCTCCTTGATTGTAGGTGAACTATACATCCCAGTAACTACAACTCGCATATGTCAAGGTCTATTTTCCCCCAAGAGTGCCTCAAGAGCGCCCCTAGGCAAAATCAACTATACTGCAAATGCTTACTTGGCGTAATGGGTTGAGCCGCCCCTGGTCATATCTACAACTATTTTGACACAGATTTCTTAGAAATTATCTTTACAATTTCTCTATTTTGCTTTGTACTCTCCACTGAAAAAGCATTTTATATCTCAATAAACTATTCAATTAAGAAAGCAAAGTGATTATTTAGTATGTGTGAACATTATTTTTATTTATTTCAACATTGCATTGTATTAGAAATGGCAGCCAGTATATTCTTTGATGAGAAACGCTGCCCCCACCCCAAAAAAAAGTAGAGAAAGAATGATACTAGATCCAATAGGCTGAGATTGTAGCAAAATCTATCCTTACTGAGACTGAACAGTATGCTCACTAATGCTGGCTGATCACTCCCCCTTGGCTCCAACTGAAGGCAGAAGTGACTTAACAAACAATGGACAACCTTCCTCTCTATCTGTACTGTCGTTATGGTGACAACCATCTTAGAGGTTGTGTCATCATATCTATTTCAGAGTCAGAAGCCAACAGCACACCATGACTTATGACGTGATTTGTTTAGGTCAGTGGTTCTCAACCTGTAGGACCTCAAGTGTTTTGGCCTACATTCACAGAAATCCCAGCCAGTTTACCAGCTATTAGAATTTCTGGAAGTTGAAGGCCAAAACATCTGGGGACCCAGAGGTTGAGAACCACTGGTTTAGGGAGAGAGAAAGAACATCATGATCAACCATGGATGGGACAATGTGTTCAAACACTCCCTCTGTTTGCATTAACATGATAAACTGGGATTACCTGAAACCCAGTCTTATTGTGTAAACAAACCCAGTGTATCCAATGGGAGAATATGGAGGTAACACCATTCCACGACTTTTTTTCACCAGGATCACAGAGCATCTCATCAACTACTACAAATTTAATCTGCATACTCCATCACTCCTGTTCCTGCTTTCTCCTCCTCTTAAGTTGTGTATGTCCAATTCTGACTCAGACCCTGAACCTGATTTTACAACTGTAGTAGTAATAATAATAATAATAATAATAATAATAATAATAATAATTTTATTTCTTACCCGCCTCTCCCCACGGCTCAAGGCGGGTGACAGCACAGTTAAAACACACACACACAAACACACACACACACACACACACACACACACACACACATGGTCTGTGCATAATGAGTATCTTAAAAACAAAAGAACCAATGGACGAAATCATAACAAATTTGGGAACAAAATATCTCACAACACAAGGAGTGACCATCACTCAAAAATTATGATTTTGTCATTTGGGAGTTGTAGTTGCTGGGATTTATAGTTCACCTACAATCAAAGAGCATTCTGAACTCCATCAATGATGGAATTGAACCAAACTTGGCACACAGAACTCCCATGACCAACAGAAAATATTGGAAGGGTTTGGTGGGCATTGACCTTGAGTTTGGGAGTTGTAGTTCACCTAAATCCAGAGAGCACTGTGGACTCAAACAATGATGGATCTGGACCAAACTTGGCGCAAGTACTCAATAAACCCAAATATGAACACTGATGGAAGTTTGGGGGAAATAGACCTTGACATTTGGGAGTTGTAGTCACTGGGATTCACAGTTCACCTACAATCAAAGAGCATTCTGAACCCTACAAACAACAGAATTGGGGCAAACTTCCCACACAAGAACCCCCATGACCAACAGAAAATACTTAAGGCCATCCAATCCAACTCCCTTCATCAGGGCAAGAAAACGTAATCAAAGTCCTCCTGACAAAGAGCCATCCAGCCATAGATAGATAGATAGATATAGATAATGATTTACACACACACAGATATAGTATCATAGATTTGAAAGGGACACTTAAAGAAGGACAATGATATGTTGCATGTTCCAGGGTGGGCAAACCAGACATTCTCCACATTAACACTGACAAAGAAACAGCAAGAAATACTGTTTACCCATAAGCATAAAGAAATTACATATACTATTAGAAACCAACACTTTCTCATTACTTTATTTTCCAGATCAACAGACTGGGCCACAGCAACGCGTGGCAGGGGACAGCTAGTACTATATAAAAATTCTACAAACACACATTAAAATTCACTTCATAAGACATCAAACATTTCTGTAAAATACACATTCATCACACAGGACAGAAACTAAAACACATGACATTAGCTCAAAACTCATGCTTTCAACTGGCTGGGTAGGTTTGCTGGAAGAGACAGTTTTTTAGATGGTTTTAAAATTCCAACAGCTGATCTAACTGTTGGAGCTTTTCCAGGTCATTCTACGGTCGTGGGGCGGCCAATTTGACTTCTGGCTGGTTGGAGTAGAAGCTCCCCAGAAGACCTAAGTGTGCGGGCGGATTGTATGGGACAAGGCGATCCTTTAGGTAAACTTGACCCAAATCAAGCTGGGTTTTAAAGGTCAAAAGCAACATCTTGCACTTTGCCCAGAAACTAATTGGCAGCCAGTGGAGCGACTTTGGGGATAGGTGTAATATGCTCACTCCTAGATATTCCTGTAACCAGTCTGGCTGCCATTTGGATTGACTGGAGTTTTCAGACTTAGGATCCTGCACATCATCGAGTTCCATTAAATGAGAAACACAAACAGCAATAGAAGAATTCCTTCCTGTCATAGGGTTAGCAAAGAAGCGTCTTTGCCCCTTCCAAACAAAGACGCTTCTTTGTCTATCCAGAAAATTCATTTAATGTGCTATAGTTAATAGCCACAATTGACTGCTACCAATTCTGCTACTTATTGTTTTTGAACTTACACAACTGTCACAAAGTTTCTGCATTTTGACTTTGCTGCAGTTTAAAAGATGAAAGGATTCAGGTGAAGGACAAAACCCGAAAAACATCTCTGATCATTAGCAAATACAACAAGAAAAAATGCCTGGGAAAAAGGATGATGATTTGTGCTTCTGTGCAGTTTTACAAAACCAAAACACTTGTGAATGTCACTGTTTGAAGTCATTTTCTTATCTACTCAACTCTCATTCTGCAGCTTCTAACAAAAGGGTACAATATCCACCAGCTGCCCCCAAAGATCCAAAGCTCTTCAGTTATAAACTTGCCAAACAAATTACCTGAAAGTCATGGTCTGAGGCTATGAGAGTGACAAGACAAAGGGCACAAATCTCAAATGGAGGAAGATACAGGTAACAAAATAGTGGAATTTGAGGACTTATTTTCCAACTGAGCCTTCCTCTGACAGGCATAATTTTGTATCATAGGCACAAACATTTCTACTCCATGTAGAGATCGTTTGACACCCAAATGATAGCTTTTTTGGATAGCATCAAAAGCTGGAACAAGACTTCAATGTGATGTCCTTTAGCTGTAAATAACACTCAGAGCAGAGTAAAATTATATTTCAGTTTAAGAGCCGTGGGAGGGAGAAAAGTGTTAGAAAATAGCAACGAGGAGAGATTTAATTTACACTACAGTTATTCTATGAAAACACTTGGTGTAGTAACACAATTAGCAGCTGGTTGAGCAAAAAGTACCCTCACACCAAGCTGTTACAATAGATGTGAGGATGCCTGCTTGATAAGCCACAGGGCTGACACTGAAACACACAGATCTGTCACTCTTGACAAGAATCATTACCTAATTTTCCTAATTACAACTTTTAGCAGATTATAGTAAGTGTAGACATTGATTCAACTCTGCACAGATAACTGCTGAACAGGCCTAAAAATGGGGTATCATTCATCAAGCTTGACATCTCGGAACTCCTTTTGTGTGTAAAACTCTTACGTTTGGAGCTTTATAATTTCTTGAGTCAAAGAAAGGTATTTAACAACAAAGGGTGCTTTATTTTAAAAATCACAAATAAAAAGACCAAAGAAAGCATTAGACTCCACAAAGTATTTGCCTTGCTGAGGAATGTAAAACCAAATTTACAGAAGCTACAGAAAGACATTTAAAGGCAATTGTGGGGTGGAAACCAGGTTACATGTTTAACAAATTAATCTATAACAAAAGGTCAGTATTTGCATGATAAACCTGACTCAGCAAAACTGCTAAAGTTCTCTTGAGGCTAGAAAAGGATGGTCCTCCAGTTACAGAAAGCTCCAGAATAATACATGAGCAGCAGGAGGAAATGGGATACAAACTCTGGGGTAGCTGTGGTCCTCTCAGAGCTTGTAGAGAGTTTCTATATTTTGGTTGGCCTAATATAAATATTACCACAAAACGCACTTCGGAATTCCTCTAGCATGGGATATCACAAGGAAATGCTTATTTTCAAGTATAGTATGTCTTTATAACAGAACAACAAGAGCATTTCTTAAAATTGTCTGCATAAGAGTTGGTCTGGTGCAGAAGAAGAAAAAGAAAAGTGTTCTGAAAATGAAACATAGTGCACACAGTGAGACTCAAGCGACAATACTTCAGGAAGCTGCATTTCAGAACTATTGTGTTATTCAATTTTATGTCAGGAGGGACCTTAAAATTACTCCAATCTAAGTCACAGTCACCAAGGCAGAAAAATCTTTGGTTTTTCATTTGAGTACTGATTTTTAAAAATCTTTATTTTATTAAGTGGATTTCTATTTCACCTTCTGCTCCAAGAGAATCTACAAGGGACTTATTACTTAATTTAGTTGCTGGCTATACAAAAATAAATCATAAAGCCTCACTGTGAAAATAATGTAAAATAAATCACTGTGAAGGTACGTCTATTGAAACAGTAGATGAAAAGACTAAAAAGCAACAAAAGAAGAGGGAAAAGATTATAATTCCTTCTACTGATCATTGAAGCTTCAGAGCAAATGAAGCACTCTCATCTGAAATATTAAAGCACTCTTTGATATTCTAATGCTACCAAAATAAGCATCAGACGAGGAAGTTTGGGGAAGGTATTTTATACCCAATGTGTCACCGTAGAAAGGTTGGGCACAACTTTCATAGCATTTAAAAGCAGAAGCCATTGGCAGGTTCATAATAGTGAAGATGGCCCTTTAGAGTGGGACTTCAAACTAGCAATTCACACATCCAAATGCCAGCAAAGTCCCTTCAAAGTACTGAGTCATGTTTAGTTGAAAATTCAGGCCATCACATTTTCCATCAGAAATAATAATAATAATGTAATTAAGAAGTCAAAAGCAAACAGGGAAAACGCTGCTAGTTCCTTGACTATTTTACCTAAGTAGTTCTTTCTACCTTTGGATGAAGTGGATAGAGACCACTTGTCAAACACAATAATACGAGCAATTCAGCTTGGTGGCTGACAAAATGGAATTTCTAGTGTTCACAGAATACAAAACAAGGAAATACACAAATTATTATGTTATGCAATGAACATATGGCCAACTCACAGAAAAGCATTTGTTCTTTTACAGTTGTCATACACAACAGCAAATAATTACAGGGATATAATTTTAGGATTACTAAAACACAATTTCACTGAAGGGAAGGGAAGATTGCAATGCTCACCTTGCTAATGCTATGCCGAACACACAGCCTCCTACAATAGACCAAAATCCAATCCAACCTGCATCCACCTGTAAAGTTTTGAGATGGAAAAATACAGTGTTAGTTCAAGCATGCAGAAAGTTATTGAGACAGTTTTGGACATTGGCATCAGCATCTGAATGCAGATTTGTATTGAACTGAATACTGCTTTCCATTGAGGAACTAACAGACCTGTTCTCTGTGAATTTGTCTACTCCTCCCATTTTAAAATCATCAAGGATGCAAGCCTCTTGAAGTAGCAAGTACTCACATTAATTTTGTGATCCGTGAAGCATTTTCTTTTATCTAACTTGAAGCAACTGCCAGTCAAATTTGATTTGATGGCACTGGATATCAAAAGATAGACAATGTTTTTATAGCTATCAACTTCCACCATTTCTGTCATCAATTTTTTAAAGTACTACGTGACCTCCTTATCTATGATTTCATTTATCCACATCTAACAAAATATGCAGTCCAGCTATGGTATTGTTGGGCAAGAACTCTCATTTCAATAGGATTTGTTATTAACCACGATTTTGCATATCCCCAGAGTCCAGGAACACATCTCTTGTGGATATGGGTGTTGCAACCGAACACAGGAACACCTTTTGACCCAGCACCACACCAGAGTCCAGTGATCCAATATAAGAATTTTTATTAAAGAAAGACTATAAAAACGGGAAAGGGGATAAATCCACCAAAGTCAGTACAGATATAAAATGCAATTTTCAAAAGAAGCTAGAGTTCAATAGCAGGATAGAACACAAACCCAAAAACACAGAATTAATCCAAAGGTATATCCATGAACATGAAAACAGGAACTTCTCCAAAGTAAATCCAAAGAAACATGGGTATAAATAAGACAGGAACATAAAACAGGAATCTTCATAAAACAGGAATCTTCAAAATACAGGAACCATGAACTTGGAATCATGAACAGGAGACTGATCTCCTATAGCAGTGTTTTTCAACCTGTGGGTCCCCAGATGTTTTGGCCTTCAACTTCCAGAAATCCTTTTTTCATTCGTTCAGTCGTCTCCGACTCTTCGTGACCTCATGGACCAGCCCACGCCAGAGCTCCCTGTCGGCCGTCACCACCCCCAGCTCCTTCATGGTCAGTCCAGTCACTTCAAGGATGCCATCCATCCATCTTGCCCTTGGTCGGCCCCTCTTCCTTTTGCCTTCCACTTTCCCCAGCATAATTGTCTTCTCTAGGCTTTGCTGTCTCCTCATGATGTGGCCAAAGTACTTCAAATTTGTCTCTAGTATCCTTCCCTCCAATGAGCAGTCGGGCTTTATTTCCTGGAGGATGGACTGGTTGGATCTTCTTGCAGTCCAAGGCACTCTCAGAACTTTCCTCCAACACCACAGTTCAAAAGCATCTATCTTCTTTCGCTCAGCCTTCCCTAAGGTCCAGCTCTCACATCCGTAGAAATCCTGGTAAACTGGCTGGGATTTCTGGGACTTGTAGGTCAAAACACCTGGGGACCCACAGGTTGAGAACCACTGTCCTATAGCAACGCTGTCTCCTCTGAAAGGCCTGAAACCGAACCACTTAATTTAAGCCCTGTAAGACACCCATGACATCATGCCTGACACATCTGTACTTCAGGGTCTTATTTCAGATTCTCTGAGAATATCTAGTTTGCTGGCTTTTTGCTCCCTGCGTGCCCAGGTCTAATCTGTTTTTCCTTGAAAACTCCCCATCTCTCCAAGGCCTTTTCTCGCTTGTCTGAGTACAAGCGAAATAATCCAAAACATCAGCCTCGTCCATCTGCAATTCTCTACAATCACTTATAGACTCCTCACTTTGAAACCCATTATCCCCCATCTCTGAACATTCAGAAAACACCTCTGAATGGGGGTTGCAGAGTTCATAAAAAACCTTCTAAAATGCACATATTCAAAAGGCTTCTGTTTTGTCACCTTTCCTCACATTCCATTTGTATATTTGCAGGCTTTTCATATGTTTTTAGTATATTGTGTAAGTCCCGGGGATGCCAGACAATTGAATACATATTATGTGTCCCCCACCCCGCTAAATAAATTAAATATAACCAGGCCACCTAAAACAGCATTTTCTGATTAGCTGTTTTAGCTACCAGTAACAAAACCATTATTTTGCCAATTAAACAGAAGTAAAACTTAGAAAAAGGATACATATACTTACTTGGCTTATGTGAGCCGGGGTTAAAATCCAGTCTAGAACACCAGACCACCCAGAAAAAACCCCCAATGGGATGGCATATGCTAAAGCAATCATCAGGAACCGGGGGTTGCTGTGAAGTAAAAGAAAAAGTAGCAACAACTTTGATAATGTAAGGTAGCTCTCAATTATAAACATTTCCCCTTCCTATGGATGCTAATGACAGTCACCCAACCTTGCAGACATTAGATAATATGAAGAGGCAGATAGTAGACAGCATTCTATTGTGCTCAGACTGTAAGTGACTGATACACACACACACACACACGAGAAAATGTGGTGGGTTGCATTATCTTGCTACATATCCCTGGTTATTTCAGGATGAAGTGGCACTGAAATAGCATGGCAGAAAAGATATAAAGGATCTTTCCCCACAATATTGATTTACGGTATATGTATGCCTCCCCAAATTAAAATGAGGTGAGAGTAACATGTGGGCCATGTCCAGACCTCTTGCCCATTTTTGTTTCTCTCAAACGTATCGGCCAATTGCAGCCACTAGTGGGGAGGAGGGGTGTAAAAATGGGAAATTGTGCCTCTAGAAGTCTCCAGGAGCAGCCGTTTTTTGATGGTGTAGTGCTGTGTTTCAGCGAATGAACTGGCTGGTGGTGTATTAAGAAAAACGAGAGCCCTCTCCCTTTTTGCAGTGAGGCTCATGAAGGGTCTTGGGAGATCAACTGAGTTCTTGGACTCACACTGAAGTTATTCACCATTACACTAAAACAAACAAAATCAAAACAAAAATTAACCAACAGATGAACAGCACGCACAAACTGGAGGAATGTATGTAGACTGCTTAAAGTTCTCTTAAAAATAGCAAGAGAGTATCAATCAAGAGGAAGTTAGAAGTGGGAATCACTAGAAAGGCCCTATCTATAATGCCTACTAACCTTAGAGGTCGGGCTTGTCTACAACCTACCAAGCTTAGAAAATCAACCTCTAAATATGATCTTGAATCCAAGCTATTTTTATACAGATGTAGATAAGGGAGGAAAGGGAACAGCGTATCTATGTGATTTGGCACACAAATGAGCTTTTTTTTTTTTTTTTTGGCTTTTTTAAAAAAGGGGGCTTTCATTACTCCTCCACCAGCATGTTCTGGCAAGGAAAGGAATATTGTTGGCTTGCTTCAGTCAACAAAACTTGTTGTAAGGCATCCACCTTCATGTGTTTTCCCTTTGCAATATACTGATATCTGGATTGTTTTGCTCAGTGGATAGAACAGTGTAGTAACGGGTATTTACATTAAATTCACATTTAATCTGTTCCACATTTACGACTATGAATAATCAGACCAAATACATAGTGGCAGAAACGGCTAACAAGGTATTTTGCTATTTCACTTAACTAATAATAAGGCTATTTTGCTACTTCTTGTTTTCTTGAAGTACATTTTAAAAGCATTAATTATATTTCAGCAATACTGTAATCTGAAGAACATTTTCCTCTTTCCGATCTTCTTTGCCTTCACTATTAACATTTTTTCACAGTTGACAGAGCCTATAATGGATTTTTACTGAATAGTCTGCATGCTAACATGTGTTAGAAACAATGAGAATGCATTTTAGCAAATAATATAATTTCTTCAACCTCACTTGTTGCTTACATTACCCTTTCAGTTGCTTGATTACAATCCAAAATGAACACCAAAATGAATATCGAGGAAATGGTTTCTGCCTGGAGCTCTGTTTGTATTCCCATTTTGTGGGGTTCCTAATGCAGATTATGGAGGATGGACAGATGTGTGGTGGTGGTAATGATGACTGTATTGTTGAAGGCTTTCGTGGCCTGAAATCATTGGGTCGTTGCAGGTTTTTCAGGCTGTATGGCTATGTTCTAGAATGTTTCTAGAACATGCTCACACAGCCCAAAAAACCTACAACAACCCGATGATGACTGTTTCTCTCTCCCTCCTCTACCGCTTCCTATGTTATAAAGAGCAGGGTCTATCACTCCATGAGACCATAAATGATCATTTTCTACTAGCATTCTAGTTTTTATATTTTCCTCTTTGAACCATTATTGAACCATTATCTGTGTGAACTTTCAACAACATAGAGGTGTATATGGACTCTTGTACAAATATCCTTTCCTTTCTCTCCCAGTTCACAACCATCTCATTGCAGTGCATGAAATCAATATTCTCTTCCAGCATCATCATATATTTGCATCCCTATCATCTAACATTTTCTCTGTTTCTCTACCCATTCTTGGAACCCATATAAATTTTCTTCCTTCTCACTTTCTAACAGCATCATTGATCTTTCTGCATCATGTCTTCAACCACCAACTATTTCAATCTTACCCTCTTTGACAGCCATCTTTATTTTTTTTTTATCTCAACAGCTATCATAGCAAGGTGGTGTGAGATGCAGGTGGGCTATGCAACATTGGTTGGCTGATGGGCTGCAACAGGCTGGAAGAATGGTGCATCAAAAGCCTCAAATAATTAATTTGGGCTTTTCCAATAGTAAAGGGCTTTTCCAATAGTAAAAACATGACTGCAACTACCCTGTGGCCCCTCTGATTTTGATGAATGGCACTTTTTGAGTCATTAGTGTACATTTTGAATGTAAACAGCACCACAGAGCTCTAAATTATGGAAACTGTTCTTTTAATATCAGCTGTGTGACAGCTGATTTTAAAAACAAAACACATCCCAGGAGCAGTCTTATGCCATGCTACAAATAATCTGTAGTTATATTTTCTCATCCCAAATTCCTTTGATTTCCTACTCAGTTTAATAAAAAAAAAAGACATGAATAGTAAACTGTTCATTGTATCATGGTGCATTCTCTAGAAGCAGACAATCAAATACATTGTAATAAGCATTTAAATACGCAAAACCTTTTCTTCCTTTTCAATTGACTACAGCTATTATTTGGATTATAAAATCCCAGAATTCTACCTCACGCCAAACACATGAGATCCCATCTAATTTGAGAAGCTAAGAAGGATCAGGTCTGGTTAGTACTTGGCTAGGAGACCACCAAAGCACATTTCAGATACGCACGTATGTCTAGCCATTAAACTTTGCTTGAAAAAAAATCAATGAAACCAAGAAGAGCTCTCTCAGCTTGAGTTTGCAGTACTTGACAAAATGGGCCAATATTCTCATGAACGTAAGGCAGCTTCCTCCTTTCTAACTCACTGGCTGTGGGACACTGCAGCCATATGGCATTAAGAAGCCCACGTCTTCTCACTCTTCCCAACATTTGGAAGCTTTTACCACCAATCAAAGGGGTATTTTTCCAAAATTTTGGGCATAGGGCCAAAAGAATACTACACAAAACATTGATGTTTAAATAGTTATAATAGATAATAACTGTTGTAAAATACTGAAACATAAAACACTACCTTGCATAGATGTGCTACTTCAAATCCCAACTCCTATCCAGCACTCAATTATACTGTTAGTTCTATACAGTTCTAAGAGGAAAAGCCCAAATATAATTTAAAAAATCAGTAAAGTACAGATCTATATTAGATCTATACAGTACAGATAGAAAAAAACCCCAATGCGCCTAAGGTTTTTTTTTAATCGCTAGTGAATGATATATATATTATTCAGTCTAAAAACCTATAGAGAGAGGAGGGATTTGAACAGCAGTGGTTATCTCCATTAAGACAGACACATGGGTCCAAGAAATCTTACAGAATTTTCTGCCTCTTGAAAAACAATTCACCTTCACTGCTCACTGAAGGTGAAGCCGTGAAAGCTATATCATAATCCTCACTCTGTCAAACTGGAGTTGATAGAAAAGCCCCAAAGAAACAACTTTAGTGTAAATGAAGCAAACAACAAGCTATTACCTGCTTAGAAAGCATATATGCATCTTAACTGCTTCCAGTTAAGAAATGCAATGGAGCGTACATCATTACTTTATACCCTGATAAATAACCCTGATTCACCCAGGTTCCCAATTTGGACTGCAGAGGTCCCCCAATTTTCACTCCTCCAGAAAAGGTCTTGGAACACAAACACTAATATACTATCTCTTAAATTATTTGAAAACATCTGCAATAAATCAGTATTATGATCAACATTAAAAGCTATGTTCAGGGAATATAGGAAATGGCACTTTGGACATGACTTAGCCACCTATATATTACACTGGTCATTTTCCTAACAGGCCCCTGGAAATAGCCCGTCCCCGCTTTTGTCATTTACCTACTACAGTACTGTACCCAAATGCTGGTCCCATCTTATTTCAATTTGTATCAATCTTGACCAAGCCTTTTAATGGTTCTGAGCAATTCCTTTTCCATAGACATGAAGAGCAGGCAGGATTTTTCCTTTTAATATTTATGCGTTGTCGGGTACTTCCATGCTTATGTTGCTGTTACTGTTATTTTTTGTTCATGTTGTGACTCTGTATATTTTGATGTTGCTTGGAAACCATCCTGAGCGCCCCCCCCCCCCCCCCCCCCCCCCGGGGAGATAGAGCGATATATAAATAAAGTTTATTGTACAAAATTATTTTATTTGTAAATATTCATACTTCCCCCATTCTAGAGGGCAAACTGTTGATATAGGAAGTAATTACTAGTAATGGCCCCAAATTTGTCTCATCTGTTTCATTTGTATTTCTGTTTCATTTCATCCTAGAATGAAAATAAAATTGGTATGAAAGGCAGGTGGGAAAGGGTACCAGCTCCAAGCCTGCTTTTCGAATTGATTGCTGTGCAAGGCCCAAAGTGCTGGGGCCTGGCAGGGCCTGCAGCTGAGCCCCAAGTAAGGAGTGCTCCTTATTTGTACTTAGCTGCAGGCACCCCGGCACTTTGGACCTATGTACCCAGGCCTTGCAAAGACCTGCAACCAAGTGCCGAGTAAGGAGCGCTCCTTGGTGCTCTGCTACAGGACCTGCCAGTCTTGGGTGCATAGGTCCAAAGCCTGCACCCGTAGACCAGGCGCTTTGGGCCTAGGAATGAAGTCCCCTCCCCCAAATGGGCTGAAAGAAAACCAATCTTTCGGCACCAAAAATAGAAAACAAATATCTGACCTCCTGATTTCGGGAGGCTCAGTGGAAATGGATCAGGAGCCTGACCGAAAGCCAAGACACAAAACGGATC